CAAATGTTGGAAATGTAAAAATAAGATTGGTTCTTTTTATCACATGTAGTGGTTATGTGATGTTATAAAGAGGTACTGGAGATGGATTCATGAGATAATGGAAAAAATAATAAGAACTAATATACCGTTTACTCCAGAGATACTGTTATTGAATATATTTCCGAAAGACTTTGATAAAGCAGATAGGTATTTGATAGTTCATATGTCGACAGCTGCAAGAATAGTATATGCCACATATTAGAAAACATTGGAAACACCAACGAAACAAGAGTACATGAACAAAATATTTTAAATGGCGGAAAATGGCAAACTGACACTTGAGATGAGAGCCGGTGCAGAATGGACTTTTCAAAAAACTTGGAAGAGATTCTACGATTGGTATAATGTAAATGCAACTGATAAATACGGTAAATGTCGTAATTTGAGAACGCAAAAAAGATAAGCTTAGTGGAGTAAAATAGATAATGAATTTAGAAATCTAGCAAGCAGAAGAAATGAAAAAGTCTCTTGTTATATGTTATATGTTGTGGGGGGGTAGATGGGGGTTGTTTGTATGTATGTTTGTATGTCTGTAGTCTATAATGGGTACTTAAAAAAAAAGATATTCTAGGTGTAAACTTTCGGGAGTCAAAGCTCCCTTCTCTCTTATACTTCCCCCAAACCCTGTCTGCAGAGCGAGGCGGCTGCCCTCTGAAACTCTCTGGGGCCAGCTCCTTTGGAGGGAAGAGGGGATTCTTTGCACTCACGGACTGCATCTGTGGGCACCTCGAGTTCATCTCCTTTTCATCTTGCCCTGCAGGCACATCTTCCTCGGCTTCTCCAAGTGCGGGAGGTACGTCTTGTCCTACACCAGCAGTAGCGGCGATGACGATTTCTCCTTCTACATCTACCATCTCTATTGGTGGGAGTTCAATGTCCACAGCAAGCTAAAAATGGTACGATCCGTGCTGCATGAGACGGTGGCGGGACGGTGGGAGAGTTGTCCGGGGTTGTGGAAGCTGCAGCGTTTGGCTCAGCCCGTGGTATCAAGCAAGACTTGGCTTTTAAAAGGGGGGAGGGGGGAGCCCCACGAGAGCTGGAGAGTGGGAAAGGGGGTTCGTGGAGGTTGCGCCTCACTTTCCTAGCGATCTTTCGTGCGGCATAAGCAATGGTGATGCATCAAGTAGAAGAAAAAGCTCCACGTTTCTGGTGCTAATTAATTTTGTGAACTTCAGTTCCTCCTGTAGTTGTACCCCAGACAATCATTATAGCTGTAGTAACCCTGAATAGAAACTCGGCAGAACGCCATGTCTTAAGCCAGTTTGGTGTAGTGGTTCAGTGCGTGGACTCTAATCTGGGAGAACCGGGTTTGATTCTCCACTCCTCCACTTGCAGCTGCTGGATGACCTTGGGCAAGCCGTAGTTCTGATAAGAGCCATTCTTGAAAAAGAGCACTTTCTGTCAAGAGCGCTCTCAGCCCCACCTACCTCACAGGGTGTCTGTTGTGGGGAAGGGAAGGGAAAGGAGTTTGTAAGCCGCACTGAGTCTCCTTTAGTAGTGAAGAGCGGGGTATGAATCCAATCTCTTCTTCTTCTTCTAAGCCTTGCCCTGATATATTTTTACTACAGTTTGTCAATCTCTGAAAGGCTAATGGCTTTTTGATATTCAAACACCTGACAGCTCCACTTTATTAATTTGTGGCTAGTAAAGAAACTTTGAAGAGACCTTAGAGTCATTCAAACAATTGATAAGAGTACTAAATAAATCAGTGAATATAATTTTCTATGTTCTTGATAAGATGCTGGTCAGCAACCCTTTATGCACTGCTGAGATGCTTGTGTTCTTGTATGGTAAATCACAACTGTAATTATAGGTTACTATTGGTTGACACGTTTCTTGTAAGACAGACCCAAGCATCAAATGGCTTATTCAATCATTTTAGGCCCTAAATTTGCCTTCTGGTGGTGTGACTAGCAGTCTGTATGCCCTGTGGTATCCAGAGGGTCTCTTATATCTCCCTCTCGTAAATAGCTGCTGCCACTATGTGACAGAGTGTTGGACTGGATGGGCCTTTGGCCTGATCCAACATTGGCTTCTCTTATGTTCTTATATTCTTATCCATATCTAGGTAAAGTCCTAGGTAAATAGCTGCTTACTTTGCATCTGTGTGCTAAGAACCGCCTCTGGGAAGTTTT